GTACGGTGGCGTCCAAAAGGGAAGAAGATAGAGCAAAAGAGTCGCCAACAAGTTTATTTTTAGGAACCTGTAAACCGTCCATAGGATGAAGGTTACACCCCTTAACGATCCAAGAGATCGTCAACTCCATAAGGTCATGAACCAAATAAGGGTTCGGGGATGATGGTACAAATCCAACCTAAAAGAGATTGAACCTGCCCTAATAATAGGCCTCTACTTTATTCTGATCGTATTCATGTGCGCTTTTTAATAACATGCAATCAATAGGATTAACCCTAAACCTGTTTATCTATGTTGGTTGAATATTAATGCACAAATAAACTATTATTGGCGATCACTTGAATTATAATCACAATTAACCCTAACAAGATTATTAATTATCTTATTAAACATGATTACAAGTACAAATTCCCTTTAAACATGCATAAAAAGGCGTGATCAAGCAATAAAAATAAATATCAAGCAACAATAATAAATAATCAATATCATGAATAATAATCATAATAATAACCATAATCATCATTATAAAATTATAATCATCATCAAAATAATAATAATCATAAATAAAATAATCATCATCAAAATAATAATAATAATAATATTCATGTTAATATTAAAGCATAATAAAAGCAAGATCCTAGGCATGATACTAACAAGATTAATAACAAACCCTAGCATGTCACTAAGCAATAAAAATCAAATCTTTAACCCTAACACGATACTAACAATCATAAATATTAGGAAGAGAATAAAAGGCATCATAGCAATCATATTTAATATTAAAATTACCCTGGACATGATACTAGGAATCAAAATCAATCTAAGCATGATTTCTATATCATAATATCAATTAAAACCATTAAAGCACTTACTTTGATGCCTCGTACCTCTTTCTAATAACAAAAAACACACGTTAGTAACTTCAAGGAAAATAATAAACAAAACAATCAAATTAAATAATTGAAATAGAGATTTGGGACCAAACCCTCAGAAATTAAACCTTTCACGTCTATAGCGAAGGCAACTTCAAATATGGCTAGGTGTTTCTAGGTCTTGCGAATACGGAATTTTGTATGAAAACACAAAGTAAGAAGAATGATGAATGAAGAATGCTAATTAAAACTAATTGTAGAACTTGTGAATGATGAGAATTGGATGATTAGAGAGAATGGGTGATGAATGAATGAATGAATGTAGATGAGAATTGATGATGAATGGTGAATGAAAACGGAGTTTTTAATACGATATTTATAGAGAAAATCAGCCAAAAAGATAAATTAAACAAAACAGAGTCTGACGCTCAGAAAACAGAGCTGGCGCCAACCCTGGCTAGCTGGCGCCAGGCACCAACACTAGCGCCAGGCCTGGGGTCAGACGCCAAGCTTAAATTTAACGCGTTTTCGAAAATCCGATAAGTTTACCGTACTAGAGGATAAAATCATATAATTTCTTCGAAAATGCTACTTGATTTTAATTAAAACTATGAAAAGTCAACAAAAGTCAATTTATCAATGCTAATTGAATTAGGAATGAAAAGAACCTTCTAAAATATTCTAGAAGACTAAAACCATTCCTAATTGCATTAGGAATGATAAATCATATTAGGCCCTCCCCTAGATCATTGGGCCGCATATAAAGCTCAAATCGGGCTCATTTTAGTAAATTGACCATAACTTCCTCCATATTCATCGGAATTGGGCTTATAATATATCGTTGGAAAGCTCTTGTCAAGCCCCATCCAACTACACTACTACTGGACCCATATCATGGACCAACCAAAATGGATTGGCTGTTTTCTTAAAATAAGTTTTCAAAAACAGGGAGAAGAGAAAGGAATTAAAACTATCCGCAACGCTAGACTTTCCACACTTTCACTTCATTCGATTATGATTCGACGCGAAAGGTACTCATCACCGGGTTTGGTTTTGGGGAGATACAAACGGGTGTCTACACATGTTAGTGTGTTTTAGTTACGCTTATGTACTCAGCATTGATGATTGTGTGTTTTTATGTTTATTTGGCCTTGTCTTTGCTTTGGCCCTACGACGACCCATTTCTAATGGCGAGTAGTGGGGACAAGTAGAGAGGAGCTTTTCAGGTGATGAAACATATTCATGATGGGCATGAGTGAAGAGCGAAGCATGCTTAGTTTCCATAAGACTATGATGTGATTCATTGTTTTATTTATTATGTTATATTATGCTTGTGAGATTAACGCAAAAGTTTTAAGTTTTTTTGGTTTTAATAAGGGCCTACAATGGTTCCAAGTTGTAAGTTGACTTCGTTTGACTTTACTTTGATTTTGGTTGACTTTATAGTTGACTTGTTTTGAATGTTTTTAAAGATAGTCTTTCGATGTGTGCCTTTGATAATTGCCTTAGCTGTTTTCATAGTGGCGGTTATGTCTTAAATTTTCCTATTTTTAGTTTTAGAAGAGCAAAACAGGTATTTTAAAGAAAAGGAATTTCTAGGGTGTTACAAAACGGTTGCGGGAAAGGGAGGGAGAGGGTTCAGGTGGGTTGGGGTGCAGATGCATCGCCGATCGTGGGTTCGGGGAGGGTAGTGGTGGGATGTGGTGGGGCTGTGGTGACGCTGGGGTGGATTTATGGCCCACTAAACGGATTCCTAAATGGAATCAGTTAAGTGGTGGCAAAATCCATTTTCTTAAAATTTGTCTGGTGTTAAAATATTTTTATTTATGAGAGTTTTAAAAACCAATTTCTTTTTTTTTTTTTTTTTTTTGTTAAAATCTAAAACTGATAAGGGCTCCTTTTTTTTTTTTTTTTGCCAATTAAGACTTAAAATTGAATATCTGAACTTAGCAACTTTATGGGCTTGTTTGGTTGCACAAAGAAAATGGGGAAAGTGGAAAATCATGGGAATTTGCAAATGAGTAAGTTATTTGGTTGACAATAAAGTGTAAATGGGGGGATTGCAAATTCAAGGGAATTGTGACTTCCCACAAAACATGGAAGATAATTACGTACCTAACCCTCTAGGTAAATCAAAATTCCCATGATTTGCAACTTATTTCATCCTAACCAAACAAGTTTAGACAATTCCTAGGAATTAGATATAAGTATTTAATTCCCATGAAATACAAATTCCTATGAGAATTAAATTCCGAGATGCTACACATAAACCAAGTTTATGTGGGGTAGACATAAACTCCCAGTAAAAGAAACTCTATGTCACTGCAAGCCAATAAAGAGGGGGAAAATTGAGCCCTGATACATTTTCGGTGCCATGGAGCTAGACCAGTGAGCTATTACGCTTTCTTCAAAGGATGGATGCTTCCAAGCCCACCTCCTGGTTGTCATCGCTCGATCACTTCCTTTTCCACTAAGTGATTGCTTAGGGACCTTAGCGTACGATCTGGGCTGTTTCCCTCTCGACTTTGGAAATTGGAGGGGGGGAAACATTTGGCTTTAGGCGCCTAAAGTCATTGTTAGGCGGGAGAAAATGCTTAGCACCAATCCCCATTTACTGCTCACAATCCCACCAACTTTTATATATAACTAGTCGTTGGAGCACGCGCGATGCGCGTGCTCCCCCGACGGTAAGATAAGTAGAATTCGTGGTTGTCTTCATTTTTGTGATATTATCGTGGTTGTTGTTCGGGTTTTGTAATAGCAAGGATGCATGAATTAAGTACTAACAAGGAGTAGTGATAAAGTTTTTATTGCGAAATAGCTATGGGAAAACAATTGTTATAAGTGAAGTTATCTAGAATTTGTTATAAGTGAAAGATTTAAAAAAAAATTTACTATTGTTTTAGATATTATTTTAGAACACACTCGTTCTCTTATTGAGTACCTAATTAATTTAAAAATAGATTCGTTTTAAAATGATTTTGATAATAAGAAGTAATAATAAGGAAATGCAAAGTTATGTAAAATGGATTAAATGTAAAATATATGATAGAATTGTATATTAGTTTATTACACTTTTTGAAGTAGATTATTTTCAAGTGGTTCTTCTACTGAAAAATACAGTAGTTAGAATTTGTAATCAATACGGAAAGTATAAAATTAATGATAAATATTATTTGTGTATGCCTTAAAGTTTATTTGCCGGTCATTTATAAATTATTATATGTTGAGAGGGAATAGCTTTACACTTTTTATATTTTAGATTATAGTCGTTGGAGCACACACGTAGACACTACGTGTGTGCCTCCCCAATGTTATGATATGTAAGATTCGTGGTTAAGATCGCATTTCATAGTTTGGTGTATTATTAACATGATAAATTGATGTTTACATGATCTTATTTGTGTGGTAGTCACTAATTTGATTTTAAGTTCTTCCTATCTTTTCTTCCTTCATATATACCGTCTCTTATATTTCTTCCTCGTCTTATCTCATTTTCCTTTTCTATTCATCCTTGCTTTCGTTTGACCTTCTTGTTCCTTTTTTTTCTCCAACCTATCCCCTCTCTTGTGTAGTTGGAATTGTTTAGTAAGCCTCTCTCTCTCTCTTATTCTCACCTGACCCTTCTCACTTTCCCGAGTCATCTCTCTCTTTATCACTCTATCTCATTTCTCTTTTCTATTCATCCTTGTACTCTTTCCCTTTCTTGTTCCTTTTTTCTCCAACCTATCCACTCTTCTAGTATAGCTCAAACGGTTTACTAAGCCTCCCTCTCTCTCTTATTCTCTCCCGATCCTTCTCTTTTTCCCGACTCATTCCCCTCTTTATCACTTTATCTCTCTCTCCCTGCCCCTCAGTCTCTTATTTGCTCTATTTCTTTCTCTTCTGACCCTTATCTCTCTCTTTTTCTCCCAGACACTCTCTTTCTCTCCCTCCTCCTGGCTCATCTCTCTTTCTTTCACCTTTAAAAGCTTAATGTACAGCTATTGAAAAAAAAAACCCAGAGCATAATGTACAACCAATTAACAAGTTAACATGCAACTTCCACTCCAAATTATCCAAAACAAAACAAATTAATTATATTCATAGATTATACATGTATCCAAAAGAACATATTAACACAACGAGTTGGACAAGAATCAAACCAAGCTATATAGAGCACATGATAAGAAGATAATTTACAAAGAATATAGAATTCCGGGCCTAGAAAATTCTCGACATAAAAAATGAATCTCAAAATGTGTAAAAGAATAAGCCAAAAAGCTACGAAGCTCAATATTATTACTCCGTACTACATATCAGTGAACTCTTTTGAAGCACACATTTTGTTTTGCCTGAACGACAAGATAAAGAAAGGCAACCTGTTGCATTTGAAGTCATAATTGTCATCGCTATATGCTTGATGCAATGAGCTGCAGTTGCTACTTTAGAGTATTAACCTGAAAGAGTCAGGCCAGAACTCCAATTAACCAAAACCAAATATTTTAGTTGAAAAGGAATTCTTGATATCACACTTGTAGTGTCATCATATAACTTCTTCCACAAAGTTAATACGGAATAGTATGTTACAAGCTTAGATCAATGCTGAGATAGTTTTCTTGTTTTTCCAAGCATACCTCATTGTTTTATCTGTAAACACACTTATTAATCCCTAATCAAAAGCATAAAGTGTAATAATAGTATAATACAGGATTTCAAGTTAACAATTACATAAACTACAGAAGAAATTATACGGATCGTTGAGCACTCTGCTAATAATTTATAATAAAGTAATACATGGCTGTCCATTTTGGGATCAAGAGTGTGTTATAAACGTTTAATCATTGAAGATAATTCAAAACAATTAGTTCAATTTTGAAATCATACAATCTTTTAATTAAAAAAAATATTAGAGTCATCTTTTATTTAAATGAAAATTTACCGAAGAGCAACAGTTCCAAGATGGTTACGCGAGGGTTCTTGAGTCTTGACTCCTCTGCTTGTTAGAGCAAATTATCTAGCAACCTTCATTAAGAAAATAATCACTTAGAAATTTAACGATCTTAATCAAAAAAATAAATAATGCCCTAAATTTAGAATGCTGAGAAATCAAATCTCTATTTTTTACATATACATTAATCCTCATCATTTTGGCAAATTATCAATTAGTCATTATCTAAATAGTCATTAATCAAAATTGGCCACATGTTAACTTTATAACTAATGTGTAAATAAATGGAAGAAGGGAAGATAAAATAAATAAGAGAAGCCCAAGAATTCATTTTAGCACCCCAACCAACTCAACACAACAACACCACATAGGCATCAAATGAGCAATAACAACCCGCTGCGATAGAACCAGGGTAGCAGACCGCAGTAAATTCTAGAAGGCATAGCTCCTAGCACACAACTCCAAATCGAGAAATTCTTAAGCCTAGATTGAATAACTTTTCAAGATCTAAAACATTGATGAAGAGACTATGAGCTAAAAACAACTTCAGGTCGATGATTTTTGGATTAACAGAACAGCAGTAACAGGGCAGCACCAAAACCACAGCGGCAACAGCGTGAAACAACAGCTACCCTCTGTAGTCACCCACAACAACAATATCTAACTTGAAAACATAAATTTTGGCAGCAAAGACCATATGCATATAAGCAAATTAAAGAGAGAAAGTATTGGGAGAAAATGGAAAGATAGGGAAAAATCACAAATAAGCTATTCATATTAAAGGTTAGATGAAAATTGAACCAATTAGTACAAGAAAGAGAAAGGGGCGATATAATAATTGTATCTGTAGATCAACAATTCTATTACATATCAGACAATAATGCTACTAACAATATAAAAAAATCAACCCAAAAAAACGATACATCACTCAATTTCAACCAAAAAAAACTGCCACACCTCTTAACTGAAGCAAGCAACACTGCCCAATTGCAAGCTCGTTTTTTGAAACCACCCCCAACCCAACATGTGATCCAGAGACCAAATTATTAGCGTCCACATTTAACATGATTATATCTTTAGGGGGGATCCAACCTGATGCAGAAGGGTAGTCATGAGCTGCAGTTCTAACGAAAACTTTGTGTGAACTATGTTCAGTGTTATGTTTTCAAAGATGAATTTGTTCCTGCAGAACCAAATAGCACACATCATAACAAGTATAGTTGCGAGTCAAGAAGTATTATCACAGCAAGGATAGGAGGAGTTTTCCCTGAAGAAGCAGCACGGTTTGGAGCCACATCCTTCCTTTTATCCCCTGCCATAAGAAAATTTCGGAAGATTTCAAGCCTTCAAGGCATAGAGCATATAAGTCTTATGATCTAGTACTTTGAAAGTGTAAGAATCAACACGTGACAGCAATCATCATGATACTTGCACAGAAGCTAAATAGATAATACAAGAATATGTTTCAAACTGATAATACAAAAATAAATGCATAACAAAAGACATACCATCATTGTGAACACAATGCAAAATTTTGGCATTCTCACAACTTCGCCAGTGATGCCTTTATTGTAAACTCAAATTTCAATGTCACCCTTAACATAAACTGAAGAGCTGCAACAATCCCAACAACATATACAATGGAGTAAATTATACACCTAAAGTTACACAAACATACTTTTCCACAAGTTGCTGAACAGCATATGCACCAAGCATTTCATTATGGACAATGACACGATGCCATTGGGCTGGCATTGTGTGAGACTATGATCAATGTATGACCGTCACTATGTGAATTTACATACAATTAATCCAAATATTCCTATTAAAACTGCAGAAATTTACTCAAATATCCAAAATACGTCCAAACCCTTATTAAATGCCAGAATCTTAGTATACATAAAAATACTCCTATAAAACTGTAGGAATTTTCTTAATTATACAAAATACATCAAATATATGCACGCATATTCAAGTATCAAATCTCAGTCATTCGACCAATATACTATGTTCAGTAACTTAATTAACAAACAGCATTAAGCACCTGTTTAGCGATTGTTAGCTCGAATCTCAGTTATTCTTCCATATCTCAGTATATAGAGCAGCAAAATCAGAGAATAAATTCAAAATAACAAATACAAATCGAATTAAATCTTTTATTTAGACAGATTTCCGCAAAATTGAACATCTAAACCCTAAAAACCAGAAAAAAAAAAAAAAAAAAAAAAACAAAAAAAACAAAAAAAACAAAAAAAAAAACAAAAAAAAAAAAAAAATTAAAGAAAACACACAAACCTGAGTAGCTTTGTAAGCATTTAAAGTATCTTCAGTAGCAGTTTTCCTTTCATTGGCAGATTAAAACTAAGCCAGTTCTCTCCTCTTTTTTCCTTTCTTAGGTCAATATCAAAAGGGCGAAATCACCACTTCTTCATCAAGAATTAGTTCGATTTTTCAATCGAAATTCAGAAAATTAATTAAGAAGAATTACCTTCGATTTTTCAATCGAAATTCAGATTATTAATTAAGAAGAATTACCAAAAAAAAAAAACATAGGACAAAAAAGGATTAATGGACTTCTATAAAATTATAGCTATACCCTAGATTGTTAAATTGATATTAGATGCTTATAAAAAGGATAAAGATCTTACCCCAATGAAGAACTGAAGCCCCATAATCATCATCAAATGGATGATCGGTGATTGCTGAAGGTGTCAAAGGTTTCCCTCCATAGGTTTCTGAGGGAGAGCGAATGAAATCGGTGAAAGGAGAACTGAGGAAATGAGAAAGAGCAGCCAAGCATCAACCTACCTTAGCTGGCAGTCAAAGGAAGGCCTGAAGAACAGCTGTATTCTCCACAGATGGCAAGCAAATGCACAAAGCTAAGCAAGGGCAAATCCGGCAATTCATTAAATGTAGGGGTGTCTTTGTAATAGCACCAACAATTACTATTCATAAGCTACAATAGCTACTTTTGCATTTTTATAATGGTTATGGATTATGGATTCATTTGCATTAGATTTTATATAATTCATTTGTCAGTAGATATTATAATTCATTTGAATACGGTATATGTTACAAAAGCATATATCCCCAATATCAATTTACATATTATTGTTACTAGAAAATGTTTTATCTAATATCATATGTAAAGGCATCACCAAGAGGTCAAATTTACTAGCTTGTACATAACAACCAACATGGGAATAACAATGACCGATATTTACAAACTAAAATTTAGGTATTGAATACTATTTAAATATAAGTTGTTAGAAAAGTAAATTCAAATCTAAAGTTGTTTCTAACTATTTTTACAAAGATAAATACTTACAAAGTAAGAATAACTCTTCAAATGCTAAATGTTTGCTTCAAACATCCAATATTAATGACAAGACTTGAGTTGAATTATTAAACGACTAAAGTAGTGAATGGTTAGAATCAAATAGTGGAGGGGTTTAAAAAAAATTCATTTGCAATACAATAAGGAAAATTTGCCAATTACTACCGCAAGTTAATACTACTTTGTAAACTACTACCGCAAATTTAAAAAGTTGTGAATTACTACCACAAAAAATTTGAAGATGTTGCGATTACTACCAAACCTCCATTAAACCCAACTATGACGTCATTATATCACTCTAACCCATGGTTAAAGCCCTTAACCATGACGTCATTATATCCCTAATCAATTTTCTTTTTTTTGGGGGGGGGGGGGGGTAGGGCTGGTTAAAGCCCTTAACCATGGTTAAACACGGGTTAAAGGGATATAATGACGTCATAGTTGGGTTTAATGGGGGTTTGGTAGTAATCGCAACATCTTAAAAAAATTTGCGGTAGTAATTCACAACTTTTTAAATTTGCGGTAGTAATTTACAAAGTGGTATTAACTTGCGGTAGTAATTGGCAAATTATCCATACAATAATTAGTTATATATGAAAATTAAATAAATTTTTTGAGATATATTGATAATAAAACCTATACTTTTGGAATCTTTGTTTATATCTTGTAAGTTGATTTCTAACTACTCATTATTGTTTTATTAATTATTTTTTTTCTATATGTTCATTAGCATTACTAGTATTGTCACATTCTTTAATACTACTTCTGTTTCATTTTTTGCGATGATTTGACATAAAGTAGAGAGGAAAAACATCTAATCGTTGCAAATAATATGAAATGGAGATAGTATTAATTTAAACATAAGATTTCACGTGAGAAAATTATTTTTAAATGGAGGATATATAATATTAACTCATTATCAGTTGTGAAATTTTTATAAAATCGAAATTATGCTTCTTAGTATTTGTAATACCCCTTATGGTTGATTTAAAACTATTTAATATACTACTCATACGAACAAGATGCATCTTTCATTTAGGGAGCTCATATTATGCTAATTTAAGATACTTCTAAGTTAAGTGTGTTTGGCTGGGAGTAGTCTTGAATCTTGATAAAATATTTTATACTACCTCCGTTATAGGTTATGTGCAACGATTTGACATAAAGCAGAGAGGGAAAGTATATAATCATTGCACATAACCTGTAACGGAGGTAGTAGATAGATTATATTTCCTCTATTTTTTTATAGTTGCAATACTTTCCTAAAATGGAAATGTCATAATAATTGTAAAACACTGTAGTTGGAAAGTGTTTTATGTCAAAAGTTGTACTATTACCCTTATTATAATCTCATGGCCCACTAAATTATACTCTTAACATTCTCTCTCCTCCATTTTAATTGTTTTAAACCACATGAGATCCACTTTCTTAAATACCGTGAAAAATAGTGTATTGCAACTATTAAAAAACAGAGGAAGTATATATATTATGCAAAAATAAAAATCTCAATTTTTACTAGGAAATTTTGTCAATAACTACCAATTAAATCACGTGTTTTGAAAACAACTACCTATTAAAAAAGTTTTTTAAAAGAACTACCATAAAGTTGTAAAAAGTTTAAGTAGCACTACCATTCTAACAAGTTTAAGTTGTGAAAAATAGTCTCATTTTTTATCACTTTTTACCTTTATGAAGGGTAATTTAGTCAATTTAGATGATGATTTTATGAGGTAAAGGTAAAAAGTGGAACCTACATGCCAAATATTCTACTTGGAATTATCAGAGTGGTAGTGCTACTTAAACTTTTTACAACTTTGTGGTAGTTCTTTTAAAAAAAAATTTAATAGGTAGTTGTTTTCAAAACACGCGCTTTAATTGGTAGTTCTTGACAAAATTTCCTTTTTACTACAACCACCCAATTTAATTAAATTGGAGGGATTAAATGAATTAGTGAAGGGTTAAAATCAAATAGTGGGAGGTTGAAATAAATAACATTTGGAATACATAAAATAGTTATCGGTTACTAATATATATAGCGTTATGTGAAACAAAAGTTTCAAATAACATATTTATACTACCCCCGTTACATATTAGTTGTAACTTTGAAACTATTAATTTTTCACCAATGATACCCCAAATCTATGTTTAATTATCCTTTTACCATGTAAGAAGATCTATACCTAATCTATATTTTATTATCCTTTAATCATCAATTTATACGGAGATTAGTTACCATATTAAAAAATAAAAAAATCATTGATTTCATATTGTTTGCAATACTAATATGATCTTATTCCTTAATATTAGATAATCGATCGGTTAATCCAAGCACAAAAATTTTTAAACTTGTTGTGTACACATAATAATTCTCGATCACTTGTTATTTTTAAAGTGAAACGATACTCCTTTATAATAATAATATAACGAACTATTAAATCCCGATCAATTGTGTTACCAAAGAGTGAATTACGCTACTTAATATTAATATTGGATAATAATTGATAATTAAAATGTTTAACGATTATTAATATTGTAATATACAAAAACTAACATTCCATACATTGTTTAAGCAAATAGTGAGATTATGCAAAAATAGTCATTTACGAAATGTAATAGTGAAAGTTTAAAATAAAATGGTTGAGGGTTATAATAAAGTAAATTTGGTTTACAAATAATAGTGACAGGGTAAAGTCGTATCCCCTAATAAAAAATAAATACCTAAATCCTCTAACTAAAGTAGATAGGGAAGTAGGGTCGATCTCCACAGGGAAACAAGTATTTTTACTCCTAATTAATTATTATAATCTAAATTATCTAAGTAACCAATATTTATGTTTGAGTATGAAACTAAACTACAAAGAATAGGAATAGGGAGAAAACAATATATAAAAGGATCTAGGGCATAGGTTCACCAATAAATAATACTCCAGGGTAAAACATAGTAATCAATCATTGACATTGCATAAATAACATGATTAACAGGCTCTCGCAATTTATTAATCAACATAGATCTAACAAGCTCTCGCAATTTACTAGATCTAAGTTCTTATTGAAAATAGCCTTTAATATCAAATTAACATCTGCTCGATTCATCAATTTAATATTGCTATACTTTTACAAGCCGCAATTGCAAAACATTAAAACAATCCAATAAGAAATTATCATGCAATACCAATAATCAATAATAGTCAATCATCAATGCATCAGTTAACCAGATTGTAAAGGGCTTTCGCTACATATTACAATCACATAATTAATTTACCGGTATTAAATCTCATCTCTCGAATCTCGACTTAACCATTTATAAATTAATCTACCTATTGAAACTAGACCTAAACATTAATTCTCATCTCTCGAATCTTGAATCAATATTGTCAAACTCATGCATAAAAGATAGGCCTAATCTAGTCACAGAGCATTAAATCAATCAATAGGAAATTAATCTAGCATTGATAATCAACAACAATAATTTACCCCTTCATATTATTTATTAGATCCCCACAAACCCTAGAAAGAAAACTACTCACACATAATTAAATATAAACTAAATAAAGCAATTAAACAAGACATGATCAAGGAAAGAGATTAAATAAAGGATGAAATTAAACCAAGAGTTGTAGAGAGAGAAACAAAAGAGAAAGAAATACTAAGAGTTTAATTAAGAGGAGAGAGAGAAAAGTTAGAGAGAGAAAAGAGAAAAGAAAACTAAACTTAAACTAAAACTAATAAAAAAACAAAACTAAAACTAATGAAAAGGAAACTAAAAACTAATTAATCTCCCAACCCCCTACGTAGTACGTACTACCTCCTTTTATAGGAAAAGGAGTTTGATTCTAAGTCAAACTCTAATTCCACTATCAAAGCTGCTGAATTAGGAGCCCACTAGAGCCGCAAACCGACTTAAAGAATAGCTGAAGTAAAGCCCAAGGAAAAAGCGCGTCCAACTGCTTATTTATTTAAGTGATTGGGCCCGATTGCTTGGAGCTGCGAGCTGGGCTTTGTGCTTCTTTTGTTGCCCATTTCTTCTCTTGTTTAGTCCGTGATATAATAACTTATAAAATCTTAGACCTTCTCTCGTATCAAGCCCTTAATTGTCAGATTAAATTTCTCTAACTCGGCCTTGGGTTTTAAATATATGGTCATAAAATACGATTCGACTCTAATATCTTTGTAGTGGCTCAATAAGCTCGGGAATTATCATAATTCCGCAAATTCCTACAAAATAAAACCATTCTCTACATAAACACTAGACAACGTATATTAGTAATAAAAATAGCTCCGTAGAGCTCAAATAAGCACAAATGTGACCGTGAGACGGGGAATAAAATATATATAAAATAGACTCATCAAATAGTTATCAATTACTAAAAAAATATCTAATTTTGTGAAAAAGGGTTTTAATTAAAATGCAAAATAAGTAAAAGTTTTAAAACATATTAATAATAATACTTTAAATTTCCCAAACTTTGTTTACATCTTATAAAGACATTTTCAACTACCATTGCTAGTTATGTTTTCATTGTTTAAAATTTATATTATTATTAGATAACTAATTATTATAAGGCACACCATTCATTAATCTTGTAATAAAATAGAAACTCTTGATCAATTCTTGTTTTTTAGCAGGGAAATTATATATGCTCCTTAATATTGAGATATTTTACAACTAAATCTCAATAACATGTATTTATCAAAAACTAAAATTATGCTCCATAATATTTATATTAGATGATTATTATAAGGTGTTTTTTTTAAAAAATAAATAAATTATATGGACAAAAAACACATCTTGATCAATTGTTAATTTTTAAAAGGTGAAATTTTGCTCTTTAATATTAATAGTACTACAATCATGTTTTAAACTTTAAAATTGTTAATTGCATCAATTACCCAATACGCAAAATATTCACCATGTTAACATCTTTATACTTTATATTTCTGTATAGTATACAACTGCCATTGTTTGAAAACTATAATGTAAGTTTTAAATAATAATTAAATAATTATTGTTACTGTAATATAATTAATGAATACTATTTAAATAAATATTGTTACTAAACAAATTAGAAATTTACAATCATTACAACCCGTTTTATTTTTAAGATATCATGTTTTTTTTTTTCCTTTTTTTTTAATTTCAATTTTAATTATCAATTTATTGACTCCAAGCATTTCATGAATAGGAAAGCTTGATGTTTGGTGCTAAAAAAATGACTATTAAATTCTTATTAATACATCATCTGATAATTCAAGGAGTTCAATTCATTGTGAATAATCCAATGTCTAACATCTATTACTGGTTAATAATCTAACATGAAAATTGTTCTTAGAACATTGAAAATAACGGATTTCAATTCACATAATATAATATCATTTAATTGACACAACTACATGATTGGGGCGAAAATATAACATTATTTATCTTCAAACCAATTTAATAATTTGAAAGATCAATATCACAGAGCTAATTAAACACAAAAAAAAAAAAGATCTAGATTTTGTATGAATGTTATGTTTCAAGAAAAAAAAAAAAGAGCATCCCTTTTTTTTCAATTTTGAACATAACATTCATACAAGTCAAAAAAATTTCACATACTTGATCCGTAACACAAAGATAAATAAAAAATAATTAAAAATTATTGTATAACAAAACATTGTATGACTTTATTGGAAAAACAAATAAAATTTTTAATCAAAAAATGAATTTTTTTTAGAAAATCTACAAGAATATGAAGAATATAAGAAGAGATAGAATTTAGCAAATCGATATTCAAACCTCAAAATTTTTGTAGCCTAAAATAATTAGTGGAGAATTAGTCGTAAGACATGATAAACATTATATAAAAAAGAGTGCTTTCCCTTAATATTGTTGGGAAGAATTGCAATTCCATATATACAACTATTTTTTTTTTTTTTTTATAATTCCCAATATACTATCCACCTCAGCCATTTAATGATTTTTTTTTTTTTTCTAGTTTTTTTTGGTGAAACCGCTATTTGAGATGGCGGTTTAAGTAGGAACACCGCAATATGAAGTAGCGGTTTCCACTCACTAGTCACTATCAAAATTTCATTCTCATCTCTCTACTCTTTCATTCTCAAAGTAATCACTTTTTCGATAAAACCAAAGTCCCCAATTCTCCATTGCCCATTATCCATTATACCTCACTCAAATTTCAGATCTCATCACTCTACTTCTCTCATTAATTCTTTATATTTTCTTTCTCAATTGCCTAGGATCCTCAAATAAAATTTGTTTGGGGATTTCTCATTTCTCAAATAAAATTTGTTTGCTGACTTCACCACAAATATCATTGTCTTCATCCTCACATTAGGTGCAACAAGGTTTATAAAACTTTTAATTTTAGTAATTATGTAGTTTAGATCTAACCATGAGATTGTTTTAGTTTTCCTCATTGTAATATTTTACATAATAATGAAATATATGACAACTTCTCTCTTGTTCTTGCACTTCTCTCTCTAAAATAGGAGTACTCTTCTTTTTTTTTTTTTATTTTTTTTTTTACTAACAAAATTAAGATTTGATTTTGTTTTTATTTGATTTGGAGTAGTGTAATTAATTTTACAGGATCTCGTTTCCCTTCTATTTTTCATATGAATTCTTCCTTGGATTATTGTAGAATTTTTTTTAGAGATTTTTTTTACATGAAAAGGAAACCGCCACTTGAGTTGGCGGTGTTCCCCCGATTGAAAACCGCAAATTTCGAGGGCTTGTTTGGCATCAATTTTTGTTTTCAGTTTCCTGTTTTATTTTTAAAAACCAAAAACCAAAAACAGGAAACAAGAAAAAGATGTTTCCACTTTTCTGTTGTCAGTTTTCAAAATTATCATAATTTTAATAAGTTAATATAATTTTTGATTCATTATGGGACTCATATCATATAATTTTAGAAAACAAAAAACTAAAAAACAGAAAACCACAACAATGCCAAACGAACCCTCAAGTGGCGGTTTTGTGTTAAACCATTAAAAAAAATAGGTTTAATTCTTAAATGGTGACGTGGACAATAGATTGAGAAATTATAATAGTTTAGCTGTATTTATGGAATTGAAAATAATTGGAGCATTATTCAAGGAAAAGGACTCAAAAAAGTTGTAGAAAAAATCAGGGAAAAAAATTAAATTGAAAACATGAAGAACAAGAAGAATGCTAGAAGAGAGAGAAGAGAGGAAAATTAGATAAAATAAAATTAGCCAAAAAAAAAAAACTGAGAAGAGAGAGAATGAGATAGTTGGGAAGTGGGTGCATTAATCATGTATAGAAAATACCAATCATATTTGAATTTTGATTTGAAAATTTAGTTTGAATTTTGAATCAATAAACCTATAATAAAGGCGAAACCAGGAATGACACTTATCATTTTCTGGTTAAAAATTTTTCCGCCTTTTTTTCCTTTCTTTTTTAGTTTTTTGACAACATATTTAATCCAATTATATTTAATTAAATTTTTTATATTTATTTAATTTATTAGGAAACTTTTAGTTACAAAAATAATTGATTGAAAATAATGTATTGGAATATATTCTTTTCCAAAATTTATTATCAATATCAATTTTTTTTCTCCAATTTTATCATTTGATAATAAAATTTATTTTGATTAAAAAAGAAAAATAATTTTGGTAGCATACTTTGTATTAATCTTAAAATTATACGTAACATTTTAAAGAACAAAATAAGTTTGTTATAGTATACTTCGTACACAAACATATATTGAAAAATTATTTAATTATTGTAAACATTTATGTGGTTATTACTAAAGATATATTTAAAAAGTTGATTATTGAATACAACTTATCCTAAAGTAAAATGAACTCAATTAAAATTTCATACTATGTCGATCAAAGTGACAAATGTATATGAATTCGTATATGGGTACTAACCTAAGCTAATATTTTAATTTTCTTACATAAAACCTTATAGCTTCTAAGTTTCTATTACTATGTTTATTTATTTATTTATATAATCCAATTCAATAACCTTTACATATTTAGTATTAGTATAAATTATTAAAATTCAAGTTATTTTGTTATAATTAATTTTTTTTTGGATAAATTATCGGTCGACTTAACACTATTATTTATTTGTTATAAAATTTAATTATGACTGTGCATGACACGGGACTTAACTTAGTGATTTATTAAAATATAGTTCCTCTGTTTTTATTTACTTGCAACACTTCTCTTTTCACGCTTGCCGATGCATTATTTCAATCGTTTATATCTTTAATTATCAATATGTAAAAATTATAAATGTTAGATATTAAAATAGTATAAATCGAGACGAATCTAACAAGATCCCACATGACTATATTTTTGTAAAAGTCAAACTGTTGCAAATATAAGAAAACGGAGGAAGTAATATTTTTGGGCCCAATATATAATCTTTACCTTATCAAACAAACAACACCTATTTTGAAGTATCTAAATTTAAATATCAAATTATTGACATTGATATCATTTATAAAAAGTACATACTATCTCTCTCCTGAAAATGGTTGTCTAATAAGTCCACATTTTATAAAAGTTTTTGATTTATTTACTTTTTTTTTCAATTTAAACTTGTACTCTGTATTTTTTGATTGATTGTATCTTTGGTTGTTTTTAAAAACAAGCCATTTGTAGAATCTTTGCTCTCACTGTCGCGTACGATCGCTCCTGCCACTATACAAGCTCAGGGCGACGAAAATGGAGGTTTTACCGACGATCATGGTAACCAACGACGATGGTATCGACGCCCCTGGCTTGCGAGCATTAGTGCGCGTCCTCGTCTCCACCAATCTTTACCATGTTCGAGTTTGTGCACCTGATTCGTATGTTTTTCACTTTTTTTGTCTTCAATTTCCTATTAATTCTCTGCAATTTTAATACATTATCTTCATAATTGAAATTGCTGTTACGTTATTTCTTCTGCTGGATGCTGTTTTGATAATTGCGTTTCTGAATTTGAGCATAGAAAAGGAATTTTGTGATTGAAATAGAATTTAATTGAATTCTGAAGAAATTCTTTGTATTTTAGTTTAGGGATGTCGTTACATCTTATTGTTAGAAGGGAAAAAATGGATAATTTGCCAATTACTACCGCAAGTTAATACCACTTTGTAAATTACTACCGCAAATTAAAAAAGTTGTGAATTATTACCGCAAATTCTTTTAAGATGTTGCGATTACTACCAAACCCCATTAAACCCAATTATGACGTCATTATATCCCTTTAATCCGTGTTTGACCAATGGTTAAGGAACCAGCCCCCCCCCCCAAAAAATGGATTAGGGATATAATAACGTCATGGTTAAGGGCTTTAACCGTGGGTTAAAGTGATATAATGATGTCATAGTTGGGTTTAATGGGAGTTTGGTAGTAATCGCAACATCTTAAAATTTTTTGCGGTAGTAATTCAACTTTTTTAATTTGAGTTAGTAATTTACAAAGTAGTATTAACTTGCTGTAGTAATTGACAAATTTTCCGGAAAAAAAAAATTTGTCACCTTTTATATTGTATAACTGTTGAATTAAAATTGTACTCTGATGATTTACTAACTTACAAAATAAAATTACATGTATATAAAAATCGAATATATGATAATTTATTATTTTATTTTGGTGTTAGAGATTGATGAAGCATTGTTCTTGTCGGATTAGTTTTTGTAGTGGTCTGCAGTCGTCAATCTACCTAAGCTTTTAATTTGGTTGGTCTTGCATGTTACTTATGGTATTAAGATAGTCAATCAATCAAAGTCTTAATCCTATAAGTGATCGGCTACATGAACCAAAAGTGATTATTACTTATAGTCATCTACTAAAATTTACCCCCTTCATTCCTTATGATCAAATGCCTAATTCTCATGTAAAGCCATATGCTTCATATCCTTTCTAACTCTTTCCAACCAAGTCATTTTTGGCCTTTCTCTTTCTCTCTATGGTCACACTCTTCCACTTTTCGCATCAGTGCACCCTCCAGACTTCATATTAAATGCTTGAACCAACACATGCGATTTTCCCTTACGACATCCATTTTCTTTTCTAGCAAACAACCTCATTTCTGATTCTATCTCTTAGAATGTTCCTACACATCCATCTTAACATGTGCATTTTTGATAACCTCCATCTTTTTATTGTAATTCTTCTTAGAAGCCCAACATTCTTTATCATTCCTTACCATTGAGCAACACTGGTCTTATAACAGTCCCATAGAATTTCCCTTCAACTATAAAAGAATGCTTCGGTCACGTAACACTCACGTGGCCGCTATCCATTTGCTATAAAGATCAAAAGGTTTAAAATCATAGCCATTAGTTTAATGTGAGACTTCCTTCCCATCATCAAGCTATATAGCCTAAACTACATAAACCAACTTCTATTCTTCTAATGCGGGACTTATTTCCCCCGTTATTAAATATCACCTATTAAGAAGACTAATTTAACGATCCTCCACTTGCACACATATTGTAGCACCCGAATCATACCACCTATCATCACTTATAGTGAGCATTGCAATTCTTGATTCATGCCAATGTTTAATTTATAAATCATGGCAACAATATCATTGGTGTTATTCTATACAACATTTGCGTCACCACCTTCCTTCTTGTTATTTTTTAGTATTCTTAGGATTCTTACAATATTTCTTATTGTGCCCTCTTCACCACATTTGTAACAAACAATATTAGATAAATTCATTTTAGGCTTCTTGCTAAAATAATTCTGCTTATTTTAAGTTGTAGCCTTTTGTGTTTCTATTGTTAGAGCAGTCTGCATAATATGTGTTATTTTAATGATGGGAAATAAGTATCACATCATATAGTTTATGGAAGGAAGTCACACATTAGTAGAATGAAAGAAGTTAGCTTATTCTATTTAACTTGATCTTGGGAAGGAAGTCCCAAATTGGTGAAATAGAAGAATTATAGCTTAGAGTAAGTGTATAAGTTTGAATATTTGGAGCATGAACAATTTATCGAAAGTGAAAGACTTTGACCACGGGCCGGATTGGGCATGCAACATATTTAGAAAACATATAGGTTAAGCGCCTAATAGGGTTACATTAGTCTAATTGAGCAGAAACCCAAACTTGTTTTCTAATTGTTGTAAAGCCCTTTTGTTTGTTAATTTTCCTGATTGGCCAATCACGTGAGTAGTCTAATTGCACTCTTTCAGTTTAATCGCTCGATTAGGTGAGTGTGCAATTGGTAGTTTCCTATGAATAATTAAGGAGAATAATCATGTCCAGTCATTAGAAAATCAGATTATCTTAATTAATTTAGGGAGTGGTGACTTTTGACTAAAACAAGTTCAAACTTTCATAGTCTCCTATTATAATTTCAGTTGAAATTTTCTTTCTATCTTTCTTATTTTATCCTTAGTGTTCTTAAGTGCTTTGAGGGAGTTTCAATTATGTTGCTATAGTTGATCTCATTACTTGGGGAAATCCTCAAAGCATATTAATTAAAAACCCATAACATTCGTAGTGGGATTAAATTTTCTTTAAGGATAATGTCAACACGTCCGTAATTCTTCATTCCCAATAGGTCTTTTTCAAACAATCTTAAAGCAAATTTTCATGTTTCTATCACCGTGAATGTCGTGAAGAATGTTGGTGATGCTAGAAAACTTGATGTGTTTGATGGTTCCAATTTTACTCTATGGAAAAAGGCCATGAAGTTCTTTCTAATGACTATGAAGTTATTCATGTTGATCTTAAGCCCAATTCTCAATCGTAGGAAGACGAAATTGATGTTGTGAAGGCTAAACGCAAAAAGCCTAAGGATGAGGCAGAGGGTAGATTGCTTGTATGATATCTACATACTGATGAAGAATCTAAAAGGAAATTTGGGACTCTTTGGAAACAAAGTACAATTCAAAAAAGCAAGGGGTAGATAAGTTTATTACTATGCAATTTTTTTGAATTTACCATGATTGATTCTTCTTCAATATTAGACTAAGTGCATGAGTATCTTATCTTAGCCTCTAAATTTAAGGGATCTTGATATAACCATTTCGACAAAACTACTTGTGGGGGGAATGACTGCAACATTAGCTTCTAGTTGGAATGATTATCAGAAGAAAGTTTTGTGTACTTCTGGGTATTTTACTTTGGAACAATTTAAAAAATTTACGAATTGAAGATGAAACTCGAAACCGTGATAAGATACTTGATGGTGGTTCTAGTTCTAAAGTAAATTATGTAAGTAATGATTAGTAGGGGGAGGGCAAGAAAAGAAAGGCTAATAGAATGGAAAATATTTACACAATTTTTAATATTTTAACACAACATAAATTTGACTTAGAAACTAATTGCGACCCATTGACCCATCTTGCGTCCCCTATTTATCATTTTTCTTTATTCATTTAATAATTGATCTCTTATGAAGGTCTTGCACTCTTTCCTAATCCAATGTATTGGATGCTCTACTCTTAAATTTTGTGAAAGACTTTTCTCTAAGAAATGTCTTTAAATTGGAATATAGTTGAAGAAGCATTAAGTTTGTGTTTTCTGATCTTGATTGATATGTGGCTGTGGAAAGTTGTTATTAAGGTATACAATTCACTATGTATGTGTCCTTTGTTGTTACATTAAACATAGTGCTTGGTAGTTTATTTATTTAGGAAATCACTCGGTTTTTTTAGGTTTTTCCTACTTAAAGCTTTTCTTGTAGTCTTTATGTTGCATCCTTGATTTTGAAGTTCCTGGTTTCACTATTGAAGATTATTGTACTATACCATAAACCATCAATTTAGTAGTATTCTATGCAGTATGCATTTATGCACTATTAACCTATAAAGGAACTAAACCAGTTTTTAAGAGTTTGTCCATAGAAGGTTATTGTGCTCATCATTTGCATTCTACCTTTTGTTTATGATCCTAATGACTTGGTGGTCATGGCTTTGAACTATTAATAGGTTGTTAACTAGATAGATTAAAAATTAATTCTGTGAAGTACAATTTACTTCAGGAAAATTGGCTTTAAATAATGCCAACTATTAGCGTGTGTGCAAGATATATATATTTTTTCACACTAGTTTGAATCCGCTTCAGCAACGCAACAGACTCCTTCTCTAAATCCCCAAGCGAAGAAAAGGTGAAGGGAATGAAACCATATCCAATCGCCAGACAACGAGCTTCATACTTAACCCGCTTTCGATGAGCCGCATCAACCACAACCCGTCCCGGAACAAAGTCAGATAGCCCTGTGCGTGTCAAAGGAGAAGACCCTGTGAAGTCGACACATACATCACGACCACGATCCCATGAATAAAGTAACACATCGCAGGTCTGAGGGCCTCGTCATTCCCTCCAGACAATCCTATGTCAACCTCCTTTCTTGCTGAAATCCCAGATCTGTAGCAAATATCAACAAATGTATCCCGAACAACATTGTGCCGATGTTTAATACCTACAATGCCAGCGCACGACACCGCATGGTCACCAAATACATCCCTAGTAAAAACCCGAGAGCAAGCAGATCACGGTGTCGAGATAGAGAACAATGGAACACCCATCCGATAACACAACACACATCGGTATGTCTTATCGTTCATCGTCTGACCCAATCCAGAAATAGGGACTGCCCGAAGCAAAGCAGAGGTGTGATCACCCTGCTGCGACTTCCACAATGCCAACTGTCCAGGAGACAAAGAAAAGGTGGATTCCGCAGAAGCGGTAACCTTTGTGAAATATATATATGACAATTTCTTCATGAGTTTAGGGGCAGCGACCTCACAAGGATTACATAAAATGTCAGACTCAACCATTCCAGTAAACAAACTCAACACATCTCCAAAAGGTTGACCAAGACCCACAATACCAGTACGACGCAGAAGCTGCGTCTGCAACCGAGAAGCAAGAAAAGCATAATGACGAACATCACCTGCGGAATAAACACCAAGCCCTCCAAACGCAAATGGTAAGGTGGCAAGCCGCCACTGCCAATCACCAAACCCGGGCCCCGAAGCAGTAACAATACGCTCCAAGGAAGATCGAAGAGCCTCATCGAAAACGCGCTGAGCCGCCTCGAATGCACCTGGAGGACAAGTACGCAAGGAAAAGTAGAGTTTAGAAACTCCAGTACATGCCCTAAGTAACAACAGCTCATATGAGGATTATCCAGCATAGCAATCTTATCCATAAGCGCAATGGTCTTGGTCAACCTCTGCATCACAAGCTCGCCACTAAACCTGGAATCAGAATTAATAAGACTACCAAGCAACTTAACACCATGCAATGGTTGAGCAATAGAAGGGGGAAAAACACCCACAAGCCTGCTTCGAGGGTCTTGTGTAGGCCAGAAAACTTCAGTTTTTTCCACATTGAGATACAACCCAAAACGAGGTCCTTCCTCCATACTCAACTGTAGAACCTTCCCTACCACCAAAGTGTCTCTAATAGTAGTGCCGTCATCTAAATACCACGCCTGAAGACATACCTCAAAAGCATCTTTGATTTTACACACAAGAGGTTGTAAAACCAAAGAAAAAAGGAGAGGACCAAGGAAATCACCCTCCTGAGACGATCATAGGGTGTGGTCCCCATAATACAGTCTAGCTGGATTAGAGTAGCAGAACTCAACCCACCGCGAAATACCGGGACAACGACGACGGACTTCACGTAACATGACCGCACGATCAACTAGATTGAAGGCATTTTGAAAATCCACCAACAACATAGAAAGACCAACGTCAGAACCACGCTCCTCAATCAACCGATTCACAGCATGATGAATAGCCTCACCCCTGAAGAAACCCCAACGCCAAATTGAAGACCATCAAAGTAACTGCCCAAAGACTGGCAACCATAACAACACCGACCTTCGAAACCAAACGTCGCCAAACAGTACCCACAGCTATAGGACGTATACCACCACCGGGCTTGATAAGTAGATTGAAGGCATTATTATTGTTATTGTTATTGTTATTGTTATTGTTATTGTTGTTATTGTTATTATTGTTATTATTATTTTTTTTCCTTAACATGAAACTTGTTTATAAAATTTCTTAACTGTGATTTATTTAACCTCTAATTTTCCTTATTTCTTCTACTTACTCTCTAACTCTCAATTAATTATTTAATTAATTTGTAAGTTAAAAAAAACAAAGACCACCACCTACTCGGCCATCCATTCCCTTTCCCCTCCCCTGGCAGTCAATGATGCAAGGGTACGCCAACCTCTTTCCTGTACCGGGGATGTATCGGGGTCGGGTACAGCCCGGATACGTCCCCAAGGCGTACCCTTGAAGAGTGGTACGTGAAGAAAATTTGGGGACGGCAGGGAGCACCTTTGGAAACGTTTCGAGGACGGATCATGTCCTTTTCCGACATCCCCAATAGAAGCCCAACCCACTTTTTTTTTTAAAAAAAAAACCCAATTTTACTTCTTTGATTTTGATTTCTCGAAAACCCTAAAAATTGAAGAAGTCACCTACAGCATTGCAACCCTTGGAGGCGACCACATACAGGCAACACTAGCGGCCAGTGATCTCCAGGCAGCCATTACTGAACCTTTCGAGATAGGAGAGAAAGAAGATGGTTTTTAAAATAAAAAAACTAAGGGCTTGTTTGACATTGTTTTTTGTTTTCAGTTTTCAGTTTTTTTGAAAACAAAAAAACAAAAACAGGAAACAAGAAAAAAGTGTTTTCACTTTTTTGTTGTCAGTTTTCAAAATTAGCATGATTTTAATAAGTTTGACTAATTTTTTATTCATTATATGACATATATCATACACTTCTGATATACAAAAAACCAAAAAACTTAAAACTGCAACAATGCCAAACGAACCCTAAATTATTTAATTATCTAACATTTCAATTGGTAAAAGGTAAAGTAGTTGTAATAATAAAAAAAAGGTAATTAGCTGTAATTCTGTAACTTTTTTCACTCTCCTTTTATCTTTTTATAATATTTTTAGTCTTACTTTTCTATTACTTTGATTTGTACTCAGTAGAATTTAGGAGTATTTGTCTTTTTATAAACATTGCATGGATTTCCTAAAAAAAATAAATAAATTGTATGTTTTTTTTTTCCTGAATTTTAATTTTTTTGATTTTTTTTGCCGTACTTGTTTTTTGGAATTTTTATTTTGCCGTTTTTCGTCCCCGTACCTGTTTTTGTACCCGTATCCGTTTCTGTGCAACCTAGGTGGCATTAGCCCTCCTCCCCTATCCGAGCTGTTGTCTAGAACCCTTCACAACTGCGACCTACCTCCACCGCCGAGCCCAACCCCTCCCTTTCCCCTGTACCCTCGCCTCGACCACCCTCCTAAACCCTAACCCGAAAATCCCACCCCTTCCCACCACCACGAAACAACCCCTTCCCTTTCCCACACCTCAAAGGTCGAAACAACCCTCTCCCTTCCCTTTGTCGTTTCGGGAAGTGGAAAAAAGATGGGGGCTGTTTCGTGGAGGTTGAAGGGAGGAGGGAGGGTTGTCGGGGTTAGAATTTAGAGAGGGGTGCGTGATTGCAACGGGGGTAAGGGGAAAAGGGAGGGAATTAGACGGTGAAGGTTGGTCGCCAAGAGTGGGGGGTTTCTAGGTGACGGCTCGTAGGGGTGAGGGGGATGGGAAGGGGTGGCTAGTGGTGGTGGGGTTTTTTTTTTTTTTTTTTTTTTCTCTTTTTACAAAAAAATTTATGCATTAATTTAATTATTAAGTAGTTAAGTGAGAGTTAATAGGTATTTAGAAGAAGTAAGGGAGATTAGAGGTTAATTAAGTGTATTAGAGGTTTGTGTTTCAAAAAAAAAAAAAAAAAAGTGTATTAGAGGTTCATGGTTATCTTCAACAAATTTTTTTTTATAAACAAGTTTCATGTGGCCAATAAATTTTTAAAAGGTTTTCCCGAACAAAAAAAATTGCTAAAGGTTTTTTTAGACATATTATCCTAAATTGTACTCCCTTTGTTTCCATATGATAATCCCATATGGAATCAATCATATAAAATAAGAAAAGAAAAACGTTTGCATTCTAACATTAAAGTGCAAGCACAATTTATAATTAGTTTTTTCCTTATTTAATTTTTTTTTTTACTTTATTTTGTTTTGGAAATCATCAACCATAATTGCATAATTCAAGGGAGAGATTCCCTTACTTAGAGCCATTGCATCAATCAACAATCAATTAATGTAACCAATCAAAATTTAATATGTATAAAATAGGAAAGAAAAACTAAGTTAAAAATAAAATATATTCAATATGGGTAGATTTTTTTTGAAACGCCTAAAATAGTATATAGGACTAACATTATGAAACAGAGGGAGTTACATAATTCGTCTGTTTACATATTCTAATTCTTCAAATAGCATGTCAAGAAGGTTATTGCAAATATAAAAAACAGAGGAAGTATAGTGTTAATATTGGTTTTAAAACAATTTTTGAAACTAATTATATCAATATAATAGTGCATTTAAACACCCTATTTACTTTTTCTTTTTCTCTTAACATAACTTAATTACTAGCCTAATAAAGCGGTGGAGCATTATTAATTTGGGTAGGAGGAAGTTATTAGCATTAAATGTATTTCGAAAAAAAAGTTATTTCATATTAAAAAATAAAAATAAAAATAATATAATAATGATTATGGATAACATATTCCTTAAGATGCCTTCCCCTGTGGCCGGCGTACCATTTTGCACATGTAGTACAAAAAATTACTGCTTATAGCAAATAGTCGAGATTGTATTATTTTGCACGCATTGTTAATAGTTGTGATTATTTTAAGCCATTTTTTCTTTACTTTATGATATAAATTCCATTGCTTTTCACTGTCATTCAAACATATTGCTAATTAGACTATTGTTTTCAACTGCTTCATACTAGTAACACACTGGTGCTTACAGGGAAAAATCAGCTGTTAGCCATGGGATCACTTGGCGTCATCCTATTGCTGCCAAGAAAGTGGAGATTGAGGGTGCCACAGCTTTTGCAGTTGCAGGTTCCATTTTGCTCTTAAGATAGTTCTGCTTTATTTATTACTTATTAGTTAATTAGTTGGTTTCCGACCTTTCTGTCTTTCCTTTACTCCGATATGACCCCTCACTGAGCCATTAAAAGTCGCATCTGTTGAAGCTTTGTTTTAAATGCTTTGTTGACTGTATTTATGTGGAATCAACTATCAATTATATTTATGTATTTAGGTAAAATAACAAGTATTGGGTTTCCTTATCAGAGGTATCGACTAAAACAAATTCTGATACAAAGGTCAACTAAAGAGAGATAATAGTATTAGATAACAGTATAAGAGCTACTACAGGGTAAATGTATCTAGAGTCTTATATAAGCCCTCATCTACTGAAATTGGTCAGCTTAGAAAATGATCTAATTACTTATGGATGCACACTACAAAATGTTCATGCATTTTGTAAACTGGTAAATATGTTGTTGTTTAGTAGAATGCCAGTTTATGGGTAAATGAGGCAATCAGGATCAATAAGTATCTGGTTAAATTTTGTTGATAGGGCAGAGTTTGCTCCACTTGCTGTTTTATTTGGTGCTAAAAATGACCGGTTGATGCTTGCATAAGCATTCATACTATAATTTCATGCTTACCAAACATAATTTTTGCTATGTAATTGTAATCTTTCGTAAAGACCACTCATGGACTCATGGTAATGATGTGTACTTCTTGCAGGCACGCCAGCAGATTGTTCTTCTTTGGGAATCTCAGATGCTCTGTTTCCATCAGTTCCGGATCTGGTAGAATTTAAAATCTCTTTCTAAATACTTTTTACACATGAACTTTCCTTTCAAAATCAAAGGAAAAATGCCGATATCTAAAATCCTTTTATGAGTTTCAATAATTATCCTCAGTAAATCAACCAAAGTATGTATCCTCATCAAACTAATTAAACAATGGAAAAGTAGGTAAATTGTTCATTCTTCAGTAGTTTTGCTCAAACAATCATACAAGTGAAAACAAGTAATTTCTACAGTTGCTTTTCTACATGTTTCTATAAATTTACTTTTCCATATAATTTCTACTACCTAAAGTCCAAAATAAAATTGTTATTGATTGGTGCGTTGGTTGTGTTGGAAGCAGAGGCCAAGTTTGCACCTTTGAGTTTTTTGTATTTTAGATATTAGAAGGCATGATTGATTTACAATTTGCATTTTTTTTCTTCTCTATCTCACATAGTAATTTCTCAATTTTTGAAAATCAGTGTCTTGACATGCCAATAGCATTTCAAGTTAAGGGCAAAGTAAAAAGGTTTTAGACAAATATGGTATTAGGACAACACCATGAATTGACTAAACAAATACAAAATCTTTTTTTTTTCTAATTGGATTTCCTTTTGGGATGTCCCAGATTAGGTGAATATCTACTGTTAAACTTAAGCTATAGTTGGGGTCCTGGCCGCCAAAGGCCCACACAGCCACCCGTACCCACCATCTCAATCTTTACCTCTACTTTCTCCTTAATCTTTGTGCAAAAATTAGATGTTACCTTGAATATGGAATGAAGGTAGTACTTTTTATGTATTTCTTGGAACCGGCCTTGGCAACGATGATGAGATCATTGAAAACAAAATCTGTTATAATGTGGAAATTGTTCTCATCCATTTCATATATAGATTAAAACACTTTTTATCAAGTGGTTGTGGTAAAGAGAAATACAGTAGAATTTTTGAACCATTTTGAATCTTCTTGCAAGTTGGCAATATTATTCTATTTACCTGCTTGTACCCCCGTTTTTTTTTTTTTATTTTTTATTTTTTTAATTTTTTATTTTTTAAGAGAGAGAACTCCCAAATGATTTTTGACCAGTGCTTTCCTCCTCCCCCAGAAGACCTTTATTATCTCAATTCTTGGATGTTGATAAGTTGGCTCTTTAATTGCATTAGTCAGTCATCTCAGATTCGGCCAACTCTTTTTATGTTTGCCTGCAGGTACTTAGTGGCATAAATATGGGAAGTAACTGTGGTTATCATATGTAAGTGACTATGCAGCTTTTTTTCCTATTAAGCTTGTTATGCTGTATGAATTGGTGGCAGAAAACTGGTCCGACATTTATTTTTCGTAAGAAGATAAGATAATGCCTTTGATGATCTAGATTGGATGTTGATGCTTGAAATTGGTGTCAGATTTGATGCTTAAACATGTTGCCCTTCCTGGTGTCTTAGTCTCATCACTATTTGTGGATCTAAGAAGGTAGTGAGGGGGGAGGTGACTGATCTTGGAGATACTTGGTGCAGTTTATTTGTCAGAGGCAAGAGCTTCAATTTGGTGAACCTATCTGATGAAGATTTGGTGTGTTGCACTAGTGCACATCATAGACCATTGGATTATTTTGAGTTAATTAGGGTACCGTATATAGTTCCTAGTCACTATTTTGTAGCTCTGTTAGTCTCTCAGAAACTGTAAGTTTGTTCATGATGGTCGTTTAGGGATGCCCTATCTTGGCTGTGGAGGATGTGAGATAGAATCTTAGTCATTCTGCATTGGGTGATTAATTTTTCTTCTTGATTAGAAAAACTGTATGATACAATAACATCTTAACAAGGCTAAAAACAGTATTCTATCCATCGGGTTCTTGTATCCTGCACTTCTATCCAGCAAAAGCCAATTATTCTTCTGCAGCCTCAAAACCTATATACCTTTCAGGCATGTCAATCACTTTAGAAGCTTTCCCCCTTTCTTTAAATTTAATTTTTATCATTATAACTCAAGCATAATATAAGAGATTAATGGTTGAAATTATGGATTGGTAAACTTGAAAAAACAGAAATGTTGCAAGTTTACAAATTTTTTTTTTTTTTTTTTGTAATTACTTATGGATGCACACTACAAAATGTTCATGCATTTTGTAAACTGGTAAATATGTTGTTGTTTAGTAGAATGCCAGTTTATGGGTAAATGAGGCAATCAGGATCAATAAGTAAAGAAAAAAAAAAAAAAAAAAAAAAAAATGGAGGAAGTATATGTTTATGGTTGCAACCCTAGTGTTTATTGCCCCTATGGGTGATGCAATCTATAGTTGAAAAGTATGCTTACAAGGCCTTTTGAGTTGGATTTTAGGAAAATGAATTGTACATTGTCCAATTCTTGTTTGTGTTGTTACTTTATAGTCATGGTTTCCAATACTTATGTTATGCTGTTTGATTCTGTGGTAATGCATTTTTTTCTTTCATCATTTACTCAGTGTTTACTCTGGGACTGTAGCCGGGGCTCGAGAAGCATTCTTCAACAATATACCAGCAATATCTCTGTCATATGATTGGTATGTATCTGAAATTTTATTATCTTATAGTTTTTGGTCAATGAAAATCTTTTAAATGCCAAAATCAATGGGTTTTATCAACAGTATATGGCAATATCTTATGCTTTAATATTCCACTTTTAACATGCACATGTATGCTGATTACATTATTTGTCAAGTATTCTGTATTCTAGATTAATAAATTCCTGTTGATTACGTGCCTAAGACATCTTACGCTACCTCAGTTTGCTGAGATAGAAGTGTAAAACTGCATGTAAACTACAGTATGAGGACACACCAATAAATTAAGTCCTAAAAAATCCTGACAATAACTCAATTTCAGTCCTACTGATATTTTGTTCGTAAAAAAACTTGAATCTGTCCTTAAGGAAAAGAAGTGCGGGGGAGAAGCTTTCATATACTCTGCTCTGTGAGTTAAACAATAAATTGCTGCCATCCAGATACCGTTTGTACTTTGTAGACAATTAGGGACACCTTTGTTTTGGTCACTTGAAAATAAACCCAAATTATCTTGTGATCATGGACAATGAGAATATTTTCTTTAACATCCTTTGTTTAAATTGGCTGCACTGGTTATCGGTTTCTTCTTCTTTACACTGAAATGAGTCACTTATCTACTGTGATTACAAGCAGCTAACATTTTTTGAGAAAGCATACTCGGAGAAGGTCCTAGTAGGATATAATGTGTAGGGTGCACATTATCATTTCTTGATGTTACATGCACGCATCATTAGATAAGGATGTAGCAAACTAGTTATGTGCTGAGCTGACGGTGTTGATTGCTATTCTATTTTTCTAGGGTTGGAGGTGTGAGCAATATTGATGACTATGCTTTAGCTGCTGAAGCATGTCTACCCATCATAAATGCAGTGCTAGCTGAGATTAAAAATAAAGCCTATCCACAAAGATGCTTTTTAAATATAGACCTGCCAACAAATATTCGGAGTCACAAGGTACTTCCTGCATCTTATTAGGCTATCTGACACAACATTGTTTAGGAGAAATAGATGTCCTACTTATAGAATGTCTTCATATCTTGTTTTCCATTTATTATAATTCCTAGAATATCTGATCAATTATTTCATCAACTTTTTATGGGTAATCTGAACTCTGGTGAAAAGAGAGGATGACTATATAGGACTTTCCAAATGTTTTTCATGCATATATTTTTCTTGCCTCTGATTAGCTGTTGCATTTAACTTCTCTTAAGGCTCTGCATGCTTTTACAGAGGGTCACAATTTCTTCCTTGTATGTTAGTGTGCAATATCAGAAGAAATGGATCATTTTTTCTGTTTGTATTATGAATGATTTACTCTACATCTGGGTCAAATCTCAGAGGTTCTTTCCCTGTATTGTAGCTATACCAATTATCAAACTATTACCATTTTTTTCCTTGATTCAGAAATTTTTAATTCAGAAATCACTTGACTTTTTACAATTCTCCTACCTCCCCCCTGCCCGACCATGTTTTGGGGAATCATCATGTTTATTTTTGCTGATTTGTGTGAAACTGATTAGTGAGCATATCCTACTTCTAGTGGGTTGAAAAACCTGTCTGCCTTATCTCTCTCTCTCTCTCTCTCTTATTTTTTATTTTTTATTTTTTATTTTTATTTTTTTTCTTTTTTCTTGGTTAATTTAGTAGTGCCATCTGCTTTGAAGTACTTTCCATATTATCATCACTTACTTTCTGAAAAGTGGTTACACTGGGATTTCTGAAACAATTCTTAAGTCTGTAACTTTTGGGGTGATCCTGCAATTCTGTTCTTCAGTATTTGTAAATGTTAGGGATCAGTATTGGTCATAGACTCATAGCCATTGTTGCATTAGCTTGATAGTGGCTTGTCAGTCATTCCTATAATCTTCTGCCATCCTATATCTATATATGTGTACTTATATATTAAAAAACGTTCTTAAAATAGAATATGTGCCACGTGACACCCTTCACATGTATGCCACATCACCTTTCTCATGTATTGTAGGCCACACCATCCATTATAATATAAACATGTCTCAATGGCGATAAAAATAATCACAAGGTTCGAACACATGACCTATAAGAAGGAATTAATGTTCTTACCATCTTAGCTATCTTTTGATTATGTTTCATATCAATTTTAATGTACTAAATACTTTGTATGAAGCATTGATTTGAGAACACTTATTTAGTTTCATAGTTATTATTGTTCTCTCTCTCTCTCTCTCTTTTTTTATACATATAATTTATATCTAATAGTTCAAATGATATTTATTGATATTCAAAGTAAAACCCGATGCATTCTCCAGGCCACACACTAGTTTGATGTCAAATGTCATTCATTAGTAATTTCATGAATCAGAAACTCATTTTTGAGGATATGAACTTGCCTATTAAGTTTGATGATAAAATATATTGTCATTGATGTGGCAGGGTTACAGATTGACAACCCAAGGTAAAAGTATCTTCAAAATGGGATGGAAGCAAATTACATCCACTGCCCAAGGAAAAATGTTGTCAACAATGGAAATGGATATGGACTCATCAGAGTCACTGGATGTCAAGTCATCAACAGTGTCTCAAGGCCAACAATTTTTTAGGAGAGTGGTATGTTTATCTTCCTTTATTATCTTCAATGAGAAGACCTTTACCTTATTTTTGGTTCACACATAAGAGGACTGGGGTTTGAATTTAAAGCATCAACTATATCTGAGGGACTGCCATTTGCTAAAAGTGAAGAAAAAATGGTTCTCTTAATGTAAGTTGTAACCACTAAATACATCATGCAATCTACTTCCTCGTTCATTTTGGTGATTAATGTTAGATGAACTCGTTGGCCTTATTGAGTCGGTAAGAATGGATATGTATATTAATTTCAGTGTTCGAAGATGTGGTATCAATCGCATTCCATTAATGGTCACAATGTTGTGGAAACAGAAATTATATGCTAATATCTTCTTAGGTCACATTTGACGTGGTTCAACTTTGTTTATAAAATCTATTTAGGTGTTTTTTCACTATATAGTTTCATGATCTCATCTTTTGGTTAACTAGAAATAGTATCAACTTATGGTTGCTTTTGCTATATAGTTCACATGAGAACTATGCTTACCACATAAGGTACATGCAATAAAACTAAAATATACATTTTTTTCTTAGTGTGATGTACCTTACAATTTTTAAGGCATATACAAAGAACTTTTATCTTACAAGTATGTACCTTATAACTATATGACATATGCCTTAAAATTTTGTAAAATTAAATAAAAAGTTCTTAAAAAAAAATTGGGAAATTCTCTTGGGTAACACTTTGTTTTTTAATTTCTCTTTGGTGAATTGTAAAAAAACTTATTATCTTTGGTAATAATAAACTACTTATACAACTCATGACATTAGTACAAATTATTATGTTAAAATCTAACTACATCTATTTTTTATTTATTTATTATTTTTTTTACAATTAAATTATTTATAAAATATTTTTTTTTTTTAAAAAAAAAAAAAAAATTTAACCCATCCCTTCCCATGCCGACAGCCCCTCCCATATACCTTAGCCAGCCACCGACACCCTCAACCCTCCTCTTTTCCCCACCTCGACTCCCCACCCCAAATTCAGCACAAAAAACAAATAACTCCTCCCTCTTACACCAATTTCTTACCCCATATTCAACCCTTATTATCACCGATAATGATTCCATCACCGCAGAAGTCGTCGAAAACCTAGTCAAAGACCATGCTAGCTTCTTCGATAAGCTTGTGGATCTAATTTCGGTGAAGTTTTGGCATATGAAAACGATGAAAACTTGGAAAGCCATGGTTTCGAAGGTTATTGAAATCAGCGAAAGCAGAAGTGAAGCTTAAATCGATTGAGAACATGAATATATTAAGACATGATCGATTAGACCGTGAGAAATCGTCTAAATCAACCCTAGATTTATTGGAGGAGTCAATTTGAGTGTAAGAAATCTGTGAAGAAAAGGATTATGATAGTGGTGAAAAGTTGAATTTAAGGTGGGATGTCAGGGTGGGGAAAGGGAGGGATTGGGGGTGTCGACAGCTAGTTGGAATTTTAGGGTGAGGTTATTGGTGGGGCAAGGGGGGGGGGGCTTCCGACAAGAGGATGGAGGCAGGGTGGAAAGGGGTGGCTAGCTAACAGTGGAGGGTGTGGTTTAATTTAAAAAAAAATTATTTTAAATGTTAAAAACCTAACCATGGTTAAGGATCTTAATTGAAATAGTAATTATCTTTGGTAATCAATAATACAAGATTACCAAAGATGATATATTTTTTTCTATTTACCAAAGAGAAATTAAAAATTAGATGTTAAAAAGAATTTCCTAAGAAAACTTTGGGTTTATTTTATTATATTTTACTTAATGTGATGTACCTATAATTTTAAGGCATACACCTTATACACGTACCTTAAAATTTGGTTAAAAAAAAAAATCACCAATTTTCTTAGAAAATAAAAAAAAAAAAATGGTTATGTGCTTTATTCATTTAGGGTATGTACTTTATACCTTCAGGCATGTACCTTATACTTGTAAGACATGTACCTTATATGTATAAGACTTGCACCTTAATATTTCAATAAAAGAAATGAATTTTAATTTGAAATTGAATTATTTTATTTATTTTTATCTTTTACCTTATATCTACGACTCTACGTACCATATACCTTATGTGGTTTATGTCATAAAACCTCCTTTTTCTCTCCTTATACAATTAGGGTATGCGATCATGTAAACCAGAGCGTATGGTTGTGCTATCTAGATTTGGCTAAGCAAGTTTGATTATTCTCATAATTGCACTTGTGCAAAATTGCCTATAGGAATGTTCATGATTGTAGGATTTTGGAATTTCCCATAGGGTCTTTAGGATTGTCCATGATCAATAAAATCCCATCAACAATAAACCTAAACTCAAAAAAATCATTCAACTTCCATCGTTGTTCATCGTTCACAACTCCGGCAACCACCATCGTCGACGTCACCGGCCACCACCACCTTCAAGACTCCCGACTTTGTCACCGGCCACCACCAACATCCTCTCTCGCGCGCTATCTCTCTCTCTAGCGCCGCTCTCGCTCTCGCTCTCGCTCTCGCTCTCGCTCTCGCTCTCGCTCTCGCTCTCGCTCTCGCTCTCGCTCTCGCTCTCGCTCTCTCTCTCTCTATCTCTTTCTGCTTCTCTTAATTAAATCTTTGGATTTGATGGTTTAGGGGTTGGCTGGGCTTGTGTTGGGTGTTTTGGAAGGTTTCGAGTGCTTAAGGGGGTTTTCGGGGTGGTTTGACGATGGTTATAGCTGGTTGTGGTTGTGGGTGGTTCTGGGCTAGTTCGAGTTGAGGCGGTGAGTGGTGGCGGTGGTATTGGGATAGTTCGAGTAGATCGAACCGATTTTAGGTGGTTTAGGACTGGTTGGAGTAGATCAGGTTGAGTAGATTAGGCTGGTTCTAGGCTAGTTCAGGGGTGGGTGGTGGTGTCGATGGGTTGGTTTTGCGGTGATTCAGGGTGGTTTATAGTGAGTTAGGTGGTTTTATGGTGGTGCCGACATTCGACGAGTTGGTTTGCTGCGGTTAGACGATGGTGGTAGCCTATCTTGGTGACTGTTGTTGGTAGTGGTGGTTAATTATTTCCATTCTCTCTCCTACCCTTAATTACATACTCTTGAATCCATTAAATCACAATTATGAAATTTTGTATTGGGTTTCTTGAGAGCTCCAAAGTTGCATCTAATATGTTTCGGAGGTAGTATATAATACATACTTGCTTATCTTTTACCGACTTAATCTTATTTAGTTTTCCACTCTTAAATTTAATCAAACCCACCCCATTCCTAATAACTCCACCTCTCCTTTTCACCTCAATTATACCCAACTCCAAAACCACCATGTCCAGGACCCATCACCACTTAACCTCATTACCTAACCGCGTCACACTCAGAAAAACCACCACCTAATCTCATCACCTTCACTAAAGCCACCTTTATTGACCTTCACCGAAATACCACCACCTACATTCACCACCACGCATCCTCCCTAACTCCCCACCCTCAATCTCACGTTAACTACCCACCATTACCACTCTCACCAAAACTACCAAGGAGCCCTAGCAGACTCATTAAAGCCGCCGCATATTAGCAGACGAAATGGCCTATGGACTATGGTCATTAGATTTGGTCAAAGGTTCCACATTTAACACCGCCATGGCCAAATCTAACCATTATGATGTCCATCTTGTGAAAGACTGAAAGGAAGACCGAAGACTAGTAGATTAGGATTGCGAAAATTTCACTATGATGTTTATAAAGCCACCACATATTAGCGGATGAAATGGCTTACGGACTATAGTCATTGGATTTGGTCAAAGGTTCCACATTTAAAACCGCCATGGCCAAATCTAACCATTATGATGTCCATCATGTGAAAGGAAGACTGAAGACTAGTGTAACAAACTGCTACAGCTACACAATAACCACACACACAAGCAACAACTAGGGACTGATTTCAGAGAAGAAGGCAACAATTTTCGTTAATTAAAGGAGCAGTCTTTCTTACAAGGAGGCTTTAGGCCACCACTCTCACGTAGTGACTTGAGGTCACTACTCTCCACCCTCAAATGACTACTAATATCTGGGTACCTAGCACACTCCTCCCTCCCCTTTCTTATACATACATAAGCAACCAAAATAAGGTAATGACAAAAGACAAAAAGTGTGCTGTTGTCATCATATGATATGATAGCAGCCCTGCCTTGACTGCTCGCTGTTTTTCATGCTGCTGCGCCACTATTCCTACTCTTGGCCGCTCTCCCTATCCTCTCCTGCTCCTCCTTGTGTATGTGATCCACTGCTTGCTGGATGCCCTTGATGCATTCGTTACATCTCCTTCCACTAGAAACGCTACCTTGTCCTCAAGGTGCAGAGAAGGAAAACGGTCTTGGATCATTGCTGCTTCCTCCCAGGTTGCCTCTAATGGTGGTAACCCCTGCCATTTAATCAGTACCTCAAGCACTTCCTGCCTATACTTAGATGCTCTGGTTTCTAGCACACTCTCGGGTTTGACTTCCACCTCAAGTTCCACCGATGATAATTGACTAAGGATGTTTGGGTAAGCTGTGTGATTACTAAGTGCTCTCTTAAGTGCTCTTTTAAGCTGAGACACATGGAAAATAGAGTGAAAGCGGCAAGTGTCGAGTAATTCTAATTTATAAGCCACCTTTCTGATGCATTGGATCACCTTGAAGGGCCCATAGAAGCGCGGAGCTAGTTTCTCATTCAGCCTTTTTACCCACGATTTTTGTCTGTATGGTTGTAGCTTCAAATACATACAATCTCCTAGCTGGAATTCTTCTTCTCTCCTTTTCATATCAGCATTAAACTTCATCCTTTGCTGGCTTGAATTAGGTTCATATGCAAATCTTCAAGCACCTAGCCATTCTATTCTTCCAAGCTGTCAACCTTGATCTCATCCGTACAACGCCTTAAAAGGTATGAACCCAGTAGAAGCATGTTGTGAGGTATTGTAAGTATACTCTCTGGGCAACCACTTACTCCACGACTTAGGCCATTCACAAAGCATCGCAAATATGTCTCGAGTGTCTTCTTCACA